TAATGAAGTTATATAATAAATCACTTTCGTGATGGTAACAATGTTCTAATTATAATCATACATATATGATAGTACCTGATGGTATTCATGTACTATCTGTGAATTGTGTATATTCTGCCCGATAAATAATTCTCTGAAATTCACCTCAATAGTTTACCTTTATACTCTAAGATGAGAGTGTGTGAATGAGACGTTTATGTGGCTACTTTATCGAAAGCTTTAGCATAATCAGATAAATGACGTCAACTGATTGTTTGGGATCCAATTCTTTGTCATGCATCTAGCAACTGTAGGAAATTTGTAGATGTGGATCTTCCTGGAATGAAACTGTGTTGTTATTGGGTTAATATTTTCAAATGCATGATCTAAAAGCAATCAACAGCATCCTTCCATAACTTTTACTCACTGTGCTTGTCAAACTTATTGGTCAGTAGTTTTTTATCTCCTATCTTTATGTGATGCTTTTTTCTATGCAGAGGCAACTTCCCTGTATTCTAATGATTGTTTAAATATTCTTTTCAGAAAAGGGCTAGTTATAGTTTACAATTTTTCAGATACACGGTTGGATTACAATCAGGGTTGCATTCAGTCCGCACATTATCTGGGCAGTTTTGATGTTTAAAAATTCAATATTTTCAATAATTCCAGCACTTTCTCTTAAATAATTGACAATGGGGCCTTCTGGTTCAACAGGATATACTTTTCCGAAATCAGCTTGATGATTTCACTTGGAACTCACAGAATCTCCATTCAGAACAATGATAAGAGGACCGGTTTACAATTAGTCATCGTATATTTGGAGAAGAATCTATTGCCGCCATTCTGAAAAATTTGCTCTTCGTGTTTTGTTTACGCTGTCTCACAGAAGCGAGATTGTTTGAAATGTTCCTATAGATTCATCTGCCCAGTTCATCTGTTCCAGTTGTCCTTTGTTTTCTTGTCTTTTCCTTAGTCTGCCTCTGGTGGACTATGCCACCACTCTTTTTTCCTGTGCATTCAGTCTCTTTTTCCTCGCTTTACCTTGGTCTTCTCTTTTTGTAAAGGAGTTCAGTGCTCTGAGAACTCCCTCTTCTTGCCTGATGCATTGTTGCCATCCATCCTCGGCATCAAGGGTTTCCCATGCTTAACCCAAAGCATCCTTCACGGTCATGGTTGTTCTTCGAGATTGAAGAATTGATATACTTTTCAACGTCTGAAGAATTTTGGCTCAAGCCTCAATAATCTTCCTCTGGTGTTCTTGTAGCTGGTAATGGTCTCCAACTGATACTGACTGAGACATTTATCTTTTATGTTATTATTATTATTATTATTATTATTATTACTATTATTATTATTATTACTACTATTATTATTACTATTACTATTATTATTATTATTATTTTGTCATAATTATTATCGTCATGGGCCTTATAAAGTGAAGTGATGTGGAGTGGAGTGGAGTGGAGTGGAGTGGAGTGGAGTGGAGTGGAGTGGAGTGGAGTGGAGTGGAGTGGAGTGAAGTGAAGTGAAGTGTTATGTAAATTAGAGTGAATAGAGTAGCTAGAAATAAATTGGAACTATTATAATCGACCCTATTGTAATAGTAAACCTAATATGTAATGTTAAAATTGTTTTGTAATTTCTAATTTGGAATTGTTATCATGTGTTTGCCACCGAGCATTAGCTCAAAGCGAACTTTAATAAATCTATCTATCTATCTATCTATCTAACTGTCCGTACAAATAGAGTCGCTGAAGGACTTTACAAGTTCAGGCAACGAGGAAAGCTGGTTCTTATCTCTGGCGTACAATGTGAGATCGTCCATGATGATTAATGAGGGGATTATTTGGGATTTCATGATATCATGATATCATGATGATCATTTGATATGGGGATTATTTGTGATTTCATATCCCATCCCTGAATCTCTTAACATTCTGCTGAGAAGGTTGAGAGCTAGGGAGAACCATAAAGAACTAAGACTATCTTCCTGAAAAATTCCTCTTTTGATCCTCAGTTCCTTGGTAGTATAGTTGCCTCCAGAATGAAAGACTTTGTATGCCATGTTGCCATGAATTACATTCACATACTGGGCATTTTCTTTACATAAGCCACAAATGAGGTATCGAGTCGAAGGCCTTGGTATAGTCAATCCTTCCTACCTAAATGTTACGTTGTCTTGATTCAATGTTACGTTGTCTGCACTGTCTAATATCAATAATTCTTTGCAATCTTGAGCACCCTTTCTGTGACAATTTTGCTCTGGTGTCAGAAGATTGTTGGCCTCTAGATGGGCATTCAGCATATTGGCTATAGCACAGATGTAAAAATCTTATATACTGTGGGGAAACGTGTAATAGGTCGATAGTCTTAGGATCGCTAGATATGCTTACCATAAATGTAACTCCTTCAGTAAAAGACGCCGGAATGTGCTTGAATGCAGCTTGAAACCACTTGGCCAGAATCGCACGAGTACTCGGGAAATACGTCTACCAAAAGTTTTGTATCCCATCAGTACCTGGCGCCTTCCGATTCTTCCTGACTGAATTGAATACATCACATCTCTTCTTTTCGCCTTTTTCTATCTAGTAAGGTCCGTCATCACGGGTTTTGAGGATGCTCCATTTTTTGCTCCAATATTCATCTCAAAGCTTTTAAGAACTGTTTCATGCTAATCTCTTTGATCGTTGAATTGCCTGAAAAATTTCTTCTAGTCGCATAAATACAATTCATTCTGTTGTCTTCAGTTCATTGCTTTATCTGCTTATATCTTCTTATACGACACCCAAGGGCTGCGAAGCGCTGTTGTAAATACTCAAGTCGACTTCATGCCTCCTCGCAATTCGTCTGGATTCTTCGAATTCTCATCTTTCGTCTAATCGCCTTCACAGCATTAGAGACCTTTCTAGTCACATCCTCAATAGATCTGAAAAAGGCTTATGTCCCGCCGAAAGCTTTTAATCTTGCATTTAATAAGCCTCAACCATTGGGGCGTGGTGGGCTTAGCGGATTGTGCTGTGTCTTTCGATGTTTTCAATTTATCCTTTACATGTTTACCAAGCCCCCGTACGACAGCAAAGGCTGCACAAGACACATAGCTGACCACTTCAAGCGCTGTCGATTGTTCTATATCCACTTTCAGCAAGTTATTGACAGCTTCCATCGCTGCATTTGTACGTGGGCCATATCCTACTCGTAGGGTGATCTGGAGGATAATGGAATACCAT